GAAGGTTGGAGTGGAAGAACTCGAGTGTCCTGCACAGAGCCCTGACCTCAACCCCACTGAACACCTTTGGGATGAACTGGAACACCGACTGAACCCCAGACCTCCTCGACATCCCAACATCAGCGCCTGACCTCACTAATGCTCTTGTAGCTGAATGAACACAAATCCCCACAGCCACACTCCAACATCTAGTGGAAAGACTTCGCAGAAGAGTGGAGCTCATTATAACAGCAAACACAGGGGGAATAAATCTGGAATGGGATGTTCAACCAGGACATGTGGGTCTGATGGTCAGGGGTGCACAAACTTTTGACCATACACTGCATCATTAACTATATGACAACGCACATATACTAACCAATCAAACCAATGAAAATGCCATTTAAATTTTAAACTACCATAAAACACACACAGTGTCTTGTATGGATGGTTCAGGAATGCTAACGTTAGCTAAGAAGATCTAGCCGTGTCACTGACCACGCTTAGAAATTCAGTGTATGAAAAAAAAAAAAAAAAAGCAAGTAACCGGTTCTGACTTGCGTTTCTTCTTTTTTTAGGACTGACACCACAGGTTTCCAAATATAATGTCGCTGTTTGTCAGATGCCTCTTCCGACATTAGGGCACAGATCGCTACACGCTAGCTGAACATATTGTTATTAGCTAGTGAGGCTGCAAAGCCCTATTTCAAATAATTCATATGTACTCATATTCTCTCACCTTAAAGGTTACTTTCCCTGACGCGGCTAACGTAGCTAGCTAGTTCTGAATGCACACCGAGGAAATCGAACCGCTACTGACGTACCCTCGCCATGCTAGCTATCGACGATGCAATTCATGTGATCAAGACAAAAATCTGTAACGGACTTCGTACGTACAGTAGAAAAGTGCTATAATGAATTCACGTTATGAACCAAACGTGATGTTGACTTTTTGCCAGCTGTGAAAAGTAGTATTGCTGGGCAATAATACAAAAAGAGAAGTAGTGTTGCCATGGTAATACCGATGGCGGTGACCATGACGAGAAATACGGAGTAACTATTTACGTATTTTTTAACGTATTTAATAGCGACAAAAAAAGATGAAGTGTAATTTTTTTTTGCCATTTTTTTCTTTGAAAGATAATATATTCCAATATATCTACTGTATGTAAATATCTGAAATTGGCACATTTATTGAAGAAAACATTTTGATCTGAAATTGTCAAATATTTTTTTAAAGAAAATATTTAGATCTGTATTTAAGAATAAACTTTTTTACAATATAAATAATGTGTTTAGTTAGGATTGTGAGTATATTGCCATGCTTTTCAGATATACTCACAATCATAACCAAATACGTTGTCTGTTTTTCAAGCATTTGCGTATACGCGCTAAATATATTTTGAAATAAATTGTACGATATACTCCCTTATGTTTTTACAAGAGAAAATTTAAAACTGTTTGTTTAAGCTAGCTGACTAGCGTTAGTTTACTATTACGTGCGAAAGTTCAAATGATCATCCACAGAATTGTACGATGTTTCGAATACAAATATCTAGCTCGCTTACTTAGCCACTATTATTCCATAAGATACATTACGGTAAATTTCATTCCTATTCTTGGATCTTTTTTTGCATCTTTAGAATTTTTTTTTGCATCTTTAGTCTTATTTTTCATTTGTTATTTTTAACGCACAGTTTAAGGAGGAGAAGGTCAGGTTTTCATTTCACTGCAAATAAGCAGAATCTTGATATAGATCTAGATATAGATATAAAATAAACACTATACATAGGTATAAAATATGGTATTTATTTTGTGTGTGTGTGTGTGTGTGTGTGTGTGTGTGTGTGTGTGTGTGTGTGTGTGCAGACTCTGGCCCTGTTGGAGGAGGAGGACGACATTAATCAGATCACAGATTATT